TGTCCGCCAGTTTTCATACCTGCTTCCTCTGAGTCTAATCCTGCTTCATGAATGATATGTTCAGCATACAAGTTGAGTAGAGGGTGATGAAATGGAGGCTTGTCTGACCCCTTGCCAATTAGAAGCCATTCTCTTTCTCTATATTCTCTCCTAATAAATGTCCTGAATAAAAGTTACATAATCGGTCAATCAAATGCTGTGGCATGCCCATTTCTTCAGCAATAGTAATAGCAATAGCAATTACATTTCTGTACCGCTTTATACTGCTAAGCACTCTCTAAGCCAGGGGTAGGCAACCTTTCCCCTTTAAGGGCCGAGGGACTTCAGCTCCCAGAAGCCTCAGCCATGTTGGCCAATAGTCCCATGTTGGCCAATAGCTCCTGGGATTCTGGGAGCTGAAGTCCCTCGGCCCTTAAAGGGGAAAGGTTGCCTACCCCTGCTCTAAGCTGTTTACAGTGTGTTAGCCAATTGCTCCCAACAAGCTGGGTACTCATTTTAGAGACCTATGAAAGAATGGAACACTGAGTCAACCTGGAGTCCTGCAGGACTGAACTCACAACATTTTGGCTGCAGTAGCAGCATTTAACCACTGTGCCACCAGGGCTCCTTTAAGATCTATCCATAGTTTTTCATGATCTATAATCAAAGCACAAGCTGATTTTATTTTCAAATTCTTTGATGCACCACATTATCCAAAGTAAGTGTGCTGCATGATGCCTAGTGCCTCTTCCTTTCCTGAATCCTGCCTGGACATCTGGCATGTCTCACTGCATATATGGTAAGCATCCTTAATCTAGAAATTTGTTTCTTGTTTGTTTGTTTTGTTTTTTATCAATCTTTATTAAATAATTTAAAAGAACATAACAAGAAACAAACATATCAAATACATACAGCCAGTACATACAGTATACAGTAACACAACATAACACACAATCATACTTATACTATATCTCTTATACTTGCGTCGTACCTTCTCAAATATTCTCTAACTTGCAGCCTTCCCTTTCAGAAATTGCGACCTCCTGAACTCTCATCAAGTCATTTTCTTAACCATTGTTATATACACTCTTTCTCTGTTTTTCCATGATTAAGAAGAATTCAACCTAAGAAAAGAAAAAAGGCCTTTTCCCTATTCTCTATTTCTTGCTAATTTCTACTGTTTCCAAATTCATCTCTAACTTTAGTCTCCTTAATCGGCTTTCCGATAATTTATCTATCTCATTATAGTCCTTAAACCCCCCTTTTTTTGTAATTTTCTTTTTTTGTAAGGTTCCAAATTTCCTTACTTAGCTCCCAGTCTTGATCTCTTAACCAATTAGTAAGTTTATCAATTTCCATTACATCTATCAATTTAGTTAACCAGTTTTACATGGATGGTAGATCTCCCTTTTTCCATTTAGCCGCGAATACCAGTCTAGCACATGTTACAATATAAAATAGAAGCTTCCCATGCTTATGTTCCATAGCTTCGTTTTTGCAGATATTTAATAAATATAATTTGGGGTCCATTGCAAATTGTGTCTGCAGGATCTCTTCCACTATTTTGTGTATTCTATGCCAGAATTTTTTTGCCTCCTTACAGTACCACCAAATGTGGCAGTACGTACCTACCTCTTTCTTACACTTCCAACATTTGTTGGAGTGACCTCTGTATATTCTTGCTAGTTTATCAGGGGTCAGGTGCCACCTATATAACATCTTATAATAATTTTATTTCAGATTATAACAAGTTGTATATTTCAGTGTTTTATTCCAAACCTTCTCCCAATATTCTAATTTAATATTTTGTTTCAAATCTTACGCCCATCTGACCATTTGTTCTTTTACGGTTTCTTCTTCCATGTCTAATTCTATTAAGGATCTATAAAAAAGAGCTATTTTATGTATATTGTCAGAAAATAGATGTTCCTCAAATTTGGTTTTTTCTGATCTTATACCTGTTATCTTGATATCCATGGCAAATCTCTCCCTAAACTGTCTATACAAAAACCATCCTAGGGTAATTTCTTAATCTAGAAATTTGAACATCACTTTGCTACATGAAAAACTAATACAATATTCATAAGAGCTATTCAACAGTGGAACACATTCCCTTGGAGGCTTTTAAGCTGGAATGGTCATCTGTGGGAGATGCTTTGATTCTCTATTCCTGCATGGTAGGGGGTTGGACTCGATGGCCCTTGTGGTCTCTTCCAACTCTATGATTCTATGATTCATGTGGTTACTCCAATCCTTGGTGTCCCTTTTCTTTGAGACTAGAATATATACTGAGTGTTTCCAATGTGTGGACCATTCTTTTGTTTTCCATATTTGTTGACAGATTTTAATTAGAACTAGAGTAGATTCTTTTTTAGTAGACTGAATTAGCTCTATTGGTATGCCATCTGCTCCTGTGCTCTAAGTGCAGCTTCCACTTCACTTTCTAAAATTCGGAGGTTCATCTTCATATGGTTATTCCTTGAACAAATCTGTCATCTTTTCATCTCTTTTATCTTATGCTTTCATATATTGCTTCCACTGTCTTTTTATTTCTACTTGATCATGTAATATATTTTCCCTGCTGGTCATAGAGCATCCCCATTTGGTTTAAATTTTCCTTTGAATTTTCAGTTCTTGTGGAAGAGATCTCTTGTTCTTCCTTTTTTGTTCTCATCTTCTATTTTTCTGTATTGGTTATAATAATAAGTCTCCTTGCCCCTGTGCACAAATTGTTCAGCAGTTGCATTCAGATTTCTGACTCTGTTTCTATCACCTTTTGCCTCTCATCTGTGCTTAACTGCTTGATGAGTTTCATCTGTCATCTACTGAGACATCTCTTTCTTTTTGGATACAGATAGTATCTTTTTGCATTACTCCCTGACAATGTCCCTGGTTTCCATCCAGAGTTTTTCTGGCTCCTGAGTAATTAGGCTTAATAATGAAAATCTATTTGTCATATTATCTTTAAATTCTATGTTCTTTACATTTTATCTCTGCATGATGTTTGGTTTAGTGTTCTTCTTTAGAACCAAGATATTACATTATACTATATAGCAGAGTGTAAATTGTGATTCCTCACATCTGCAAAGAACAAATCTTTATAAGTACCAAAGAACCAACAGGTAACAAGGCATTTCCTGTAGTTATAATCACATGCTCCTACAATTCCCTAGGGAAACTTGAGGGTGTTCACATATTACAAATTAAAAGTAAACATAGTATCACAAGTGAAAGAACAGCACAACATCTGTTTGGCTAAGGTACCTCTGGGCAGGAAAATGCAATTAGGTATGGCATATACAATGTTGACATATATTGTGAAATAGATCTATGTAGTGACTGCAGATATTAAGATATATACCCAATGTAAATTGTTAATTCATGATGTCTGGAGAAGTCTTTACTGTCACAATAAAAAGCAGAGAAATGTGCCAACACTCTTATTCCTGGGGCTTCTCCAAAGATACTCAAATTTGGATGGAAAGAGCATTATTAGTGCCCATCAGAATGGTACAAATCCTAGTATGCCACCTCAATGCTAGATTAAATTCCAGCTATAGAATAAAAATATAATGGAGTCTCTGCTAAAATATTAAGATATTGTGGCATGAAGAATACACACAGACTTTAAAAAGAGGGCATGATCCATGATTCAGATCTGAAAAGAGTCACGAATGAAACAGCTGGTGGCATTGTTTCAGTTTGTTAAAGCTGGTTCAATCCCTTCTTTTAACCACAAGGTTAAACAGGGTCAGTGTCAGTTGCATTTTTCAATAGGGTCAATTAAAAGGAACAGATAATCATTTGACACTGTTACATGAAGGTATGAACATGGCTGTTCCTTCTTTCTCATCCCGTCCTCCTATTTTCTTTATTCTTTTTTTACCATTCTCTCTCTTGCCCCTCTTCTCACTTTGTGGGTTGATGTTTCCATAGAAACATATTCTTTAATGCTTCTGAAATTACTTTGCATTTAATCTATTTACCCTTTCCTAACCAAACTACATCTCCAAACTTCCTTCAAGTTCTTTTTCATTTTCATGAAACAACATTTTCACAGTTCACCTTGCAAGAGGGCACAGAACCTACAGGAAGCAATAAAATGAAATTACATATCACAGTGTCTTAATTTAATAGTATGGATTTGTTAGATTTCTATACCTCTTCTAAAACAGTTCACAATACAAGTTAAATGATAGACTGTAAGTGTGTGTGTGTTTGTGCATGTGTTTGTGCGTGTGTGTGTAAAACTATGAGAGGCATGATGAAAAGATAAAAAGTGACAAAATAATTTTTTGTGTTACCTAAACAAAGCACACCTTCAGGATGTATCTCAGCAGCAGCAATGAAATAATAGAATTCAAACCCAACTGCAACATCCTGAGGAATTACAGGCATAATCATTGCAGAGTTTCTTTTTTGCCAGGTTCTGCTTCCTCATCACAATCTGTCCCTAATAATTTGCAACTACTGTACTATTCTCATTGCAATGACTATTTAAATTACAATTATTATATTTGGGACAATCAGCAATTCTTCATCACCAGAAGCACCTGAACCACTGTTTTTCTCCATGTATGTTAATCTTCACCATCCTTCTATTAAGATCATCATCTTCTTACTTTGCCTTCCTTGTCCACCCTCTAATAGCTCAGATTATTACTTGCTTCAGTGCGAACAAATCAATTTCTCCTCTAACAAATGCCTTAATGCTATTTATGAAATTATTCAACTATCAAGTCTTTCTGGTCCCAAAAGTATGAGTGGATAGGGTAATTCAAGGATACAACATAGATGGATGCATGAAGCAAGGTCAGAAATAAGTATTGTTCATAAAAGTCCACAAAATGACACTGAGCTTCAAATGCAGGCTTGACATTTACCTGCGAAGAGACTTGTCATTCCTTCCCAGGAACAGTGAAAGCACCATATGTGTTCTTTGAGAGTTTCATAGCAAGAGGAATATTACAGTGACCACTAAAGCTGGACCAAGAGCTTCAGCTACTTCAGGTAGCTGTGCCATGCATGTGGTGTAGTGGTTTGAGTGCTGGACTATGACTCTGAAGACCAGGGTTCGATTCCCAGCTTGGCTATGAAAACCCACTGGGTGACCTTGGGCAACTCACATGCTCTCAGCCTCAGGTGAAAGCAATGGCAAACTTCCTCTGAACAAATCTTGCCAAGAAAACACCACAATAGGTTCCACTCAGGGTTGCCATAAGTCAGAAACAACTTGAAGGCATACAACAACAATAAGCCATGCAATCATACCTCCAAATTCCACACAATACCATACATGATGCCTCTTGGGACATGTTGGCTAGAACACACAGACACAATCATAACCCATGACATTATGCTGCCTGAGGAGGAACAGTAAATGATAACTTGTGCCTACCCATGTCAAGGTACATAGTACTCAAAGCTAGCCAAGTTAGTTGACACACAAGACAAAAAATCCCACAAGCCTCTCCCCTATACAATAATAACAATAGCTAGCAGTTGCCCTTTCATGATCTTAAAAATCTACTTTATGACATGGATGCCTCACTGCAATTAATGAGAGGGCAGGCCTTATGGACACAATTTCACATAATTAGAAAGCTGCATTTCACCTTCCCATCCTTTGCAAATGTATAAGTATAGTTTTTGGTGGGTTTTTCAGGCTGTGTGGCCATGTTCTTGAAGATGCCAGCCACAGATGCTGGCGAAACGTCAAAAAGAAACTCTTCCATAACATGACCACACAGCCCGAAAAACCCAGTAAAAACTATGGATGCTGCCCATGAAAGCCTACGACTTCACAGTATAAGGGACACCTCTCAAACTGTGCATTGATTCAGTGGTGTCCACAACAGCCCCCATATTTTTTTTTTTATGACAGACTGATATAAATATTTTGTAGCTTAGGTAATTCCTGTTGTTTACCAAATCTGTTTCTCTCTTGCACACACGCATGCCCACATTCACTTACACACAAACACACAGACAAGTTCTTCCAACCATGAAGATTTGAGACTTCAAGAACCAAGACTGCCGGCCCACTTTTCAGTGGATGTTACTGTTAAGAAGGAAATTATCTTTCCTACAGATTAAACACATTAAGGTAGAGTGCCAGCTTGGCACAGTGGTTTGAGTGTTGGACTATGACTCTAGACACCAGGGTTCAATTACAAGCTTGGCCATGAAACCCACTGGGTGACCTTGGGCAAGTCACATGCTTTCAGCCTCAGGGGAAAGCAATAGCAAATCTCCTCTGAACAAATCAGGATAGGCTCACCTTAGGGTCGCCATAAGTCGGAAATGACTTGAATGCACCCAACACACATACACACACAAGCTTTTAACCAACAGCAAAAAAAAAAAAAAAAGTGTATAGAAGGACCTGAATTGTGGTTTTGTTTGGGGTTTTTCTGTAGATTTTAAGTTTTTCCATGGCAACAGGCTTCGGAAAGAGAAGAGAAGGGTAGGATAGGAAAGACAGGAAGAACAGAGAGATAGAGCACCGTGTGCTGGATATTGTTTCCATAGCAACCCTATTACATACGCAGCTAACTGCCAAAGTAAGTCAAGATCCCAGTAAAGGGGTTGCAGGGAAGTAGGAGTGGATAAAAAGGGGCTGGAAAGAATGTGAGATGTGGTTAAGGCAGACAAACATATGCGTATCTTTCTCCCGCTATTTCCTCAAAGGGCAATTCTGCTTTCTTTGCACTCTCAGATGAACATCCGTAAAGCCTATGAACTTAAAAGAAATTCACCATCCAATACTGCACTGAATGAAATGTATTGGAATGTGGGGTGGGGTATATGTAATCAAATAAAACAAGAATGGAGCGACAAATTGTTGAGGAGGCTCAGAGAGAGAGAGAGGATCCCCCCCTCCCCATAGCAATGACTATTTTTCTCAACCAATTTGGACTACACAGATGCATTTGCTTTCACACCCCAGATGGTTGAGGAATGAAGATGTCATTCGTAATTGCAGGAAGCACTACAGAAATGTTACATCCTCGTAAAGCAACCACTTTTTAAAGGTGACGGCTTTTTTGTTTTTTGTTTTTAACTGATCATTCATTTTTCCTTGGATGACCCCCATTTTAACACACCTGCCTCAAGTAAGGTTACAAAGATCCCAAATATCCTGGATGTCTCAAATGTAGCATGGCACTGGATTCAAACAAAAGGGCATTTAAATTGAATGTTTAGACAGATGGAGACCAATTCAAGATACATTTCACTGCATGCTTTGCAGCCACCAGAGAACGCCTTGGGCAGTGGCCAAAAGGTAGTGCCAAAGGACTTTGCCAATTTAGTGCCTACTTGTGACCAAGCCATTCATCCAAATATGCTGCCATTTCTAAAGTCTGCCTCTCTGCCTGACTTCTCTTTAGAGCCAAGAGGCATGCACCAAACCAGACAGACAATTACTGAGACCACAGCAGGTATAGATGGGAATTATGATTTTTTAACGTTGTTATAATATGTTGTGAGGTGAGAAGTCCCCCATTGGCAACACTGGGGTGGGTGAGATTTCCTCTCCGTGGAGAGAGAGGAGGTGGCACCTTCAGAAGAAAAAGTTTCCTCAGGACCACAAAATGAGAGGAAATGCTGTTCTGACAATATCAGTTTTTCCAGATGGTACCATTTTAAAAAATTAAATTATGTTTTTTATAAACATGTTAAATAAAACTATGGGGCAAAACAGACCAGCACTAAACGCCAGCATCAGGTTGGAGTGAGGGTGTGGTGATCACACGCCGGACACCCTGACTCCACCATCACGCCACCCGCCTGACCGCACAGTGGGCAACATCACGGCCCTTCTTTGGCGCAGTGTTTAGATGTGCTGAGCCGAAGAATCAGCAAGAGCTACTTCTTTTTAGAGTGGCAAACTGCTGGATTGGGCCCACGACATGCAGGTGCTACAGACACAATCTTGCGATGATAGGGGTAGTGAAAAGCCATTGCTTCAGGGCTGTCTGTTTTGCCCCTTAGTCTTTGGTCCTAAAAACCTCAGAATACTTTACGGTGTAATGCCCCCTTAGTCTTTGGTCCTAAAAACCTCAGAATACTCTACGGTGTAATGCTGTGCATTTTCCTTTAGCATTCTGATACTCCCAGGTACAACACAGTGGTGATTCCACCTGTCCTTTTTCTCTCAGTCTCGTGGCTGCTGCATTCTGCCCTCCAGGATTCCTTCTGCCATTCCCTATGAAACTGCTGCTCACTCACCCAGAAAGCAGTCACCCTCAATTATCATTTCCTCTTGTGATCCCTACAGCTACTTACTATCACTGAAACGGTGTTCCTCAGCCCCCCAATGCCACTATACTCTTGTTGCCCTTTCCTATACAAGTATCTGCTCTCACACAACTCATCTTACTGGTGTTAGTGGTTCCTTATCTTTCCTAAAACCCAGTCTGTTGAACCGCTACAAAGCCTTAGCTTTATTTTTGAGACTTTTGTTTCCACATTCCCTCCATTAACAAACTACCTTGAATTCCAGTTTTGGTGGGGAAAAGATGGTAATAATAATAGTAATTATGTCACTTCTGCACAATATTGTATAAATAAAGCTATACTTCACTTCATCAAAAATTCTGGTTCAAGCTCTGGCAATTTCTCACTTTGACTGCTATAACCATCACTCTCACTTTCTAACAGCTTTCCTTGATTTGTTCATGATTATCCCATGTGCTACAAACAGATCAATTCACTTTGCTGATCACTCTAATCATGATGATGCCTCAGATTCCCAGATCCATACTGCATTCCTTACCTTCTTAACCTGCTATGTCCTTTCTCCCCACATTGCGCTATTTATCTCTGTTGTAAACATGGATATGATATAACATCACATATGCACCTACTTGATCTTATATCTTGCCTCTACTTACAACTTTTGTTCCTTGAAACCTCCTCTTAGAACACCAGTATGGTGTCATCTCTTTCACTTCATATCCCTTCTCAAAAACTACTTTTTCTGTGAAGGCTTTGACACATCTCTAGTTCCTATGTCCTGCTGTAACCAAGCCTGAGTACATGTATCTAGAATAATCACATATTTCCCTTTTTTACTTTACCTCCATTTCCTCCTCCTTGTCTTGCTCTTTCTCTATGCTGAGAGGGTCCATTTCAAGGCGAGGATTTTATTTTATTTTATTTTATTTTATTTTATTTTATTTTATTCCATAAATCAGGACAAAATGCTGTCCTCCTGATATTACGGGACTGTAACTCCCAGTATTCCTCATCACTGGCTATGCTAGCCAGGAGCTGCAGTGCAACAATGTTTGGAGGCAGCATCCTCACCCCTGCTACAAATCATCATGCACATTGGTGACACTAAATAAATGACAATCACAGTAATCACAACAGACATATATATGCCCTTCACTGTAGTGTAGAGATTGAAGTGTCTAAACTAGAATTAATTAGACTAAGGCTGCATCCACACTGCACTGCTTTAACTGTAATGGCTCAATGCTATGAAATTCTGAGAATTGTAATTTTATGAAACATTCAGCCTTCTCTCTCAGAGAACTCTGGTGCCACAAACTACAATTCCCAAAATTCCATAGCATTGAGCCATGACAGTTAAAGTGGTGTCAAACTGTATTATTTCTGCAGTGCAGATGCAGTCCAGGATTGAAATTTCCAGCCACCCTGCCATAAAGCCCATCAGATGTCTCTGAGCCATTCACCATCTCTCACTTGAACTTTTATCATAAGGTGCTGCGAGGATAACGGGGAGAGGAATAAAAACCATCCAGAGTTTCCTAGAGAAAGGCTGGTCTATAAATAGAAAAACTAAACAAAATAATATTTTAATGACTATTAAAGATGCCTCCTTCATGTGTCTTTTAATACAGAAAAGAAGCACTTGATCGTAGTGAATCTGCATGTTCACTTTCAAAACTAAAGTGCATTTCTCTCTAAACTCATTGTGTTTCCTGTTCTGCACACAAGCCCAAACCTAACATGGTCATTCCTGGAAGCATGCAGAGATCCAATGATGAAAAATAAGGGGGGTTGTTTTGGCATGGAGTCTCTCTCTGTCACCTAACAGAAAACAATTCCCTCATGCAAGAAT